AATCCCGGATCTTACTCTTATTGAGAAGCATTATTACCCATATCAGAACTACTTTGAACAACAACAGATCAGAAAGAGCTCAAAAGAGAGGAAGAAAAGAAGGACAAATATAGTGCAAAACATCACAACCACTTCGAAGGCCTCGAACAGCCACAGTGAGCTCCTCGCTGCGGCCTCGAGCGCCGACGACGCTGATCGATACGCAACGCGTGCGGTCATTTGGTTCCATCACTGACCACACTCTCTTGGCCTCATGTGTTCTCTCGTCGCACTCTGGTCGCTCTCCACTCTGCCTGCGTATTTGGAGGCGCCAACTTGAACAGTATTATTGACGGTGTTGTGGACCAACAACGTCTACCAAAACCCTACTGCCATTCATTCTTGGGTGGTTTAGCGCACAGGAGTAAACTGGGGTCTCATTCAGTAAGGGCAGGGGGGCATGTGGAGCGACAGTTCATATTGCATGAAGCAGTCCACCTTTTTTAACTGTTCACGCACCCCGGAACCCGGGGATCTCCTACCCTTGCAAAAACTAGAATTTCTGTAGCCGGCAGGAATTGTCACATCACATGCCCTCCTTACTGGATGAGATTTATAAGCTGTGCTTGGCTGCCTCTCAGTACCTAGGAGTGTCCAACTCTGTATAAATTTGTAATAATTAGAATAATTGGTATTTACGCTCACGTCAGCGCACCTCACATGGTTCGCTTCCTCGAGCTTTAGCAAAAATCTCTGGAAAACTCACAGGGCAGTCATCAAAAGGCACAAGCCGGTTGCGGCGGTCTAGGCATTTGGCTTATTTGCCTTACCTCTAACAAGTACCTAGGTACGCCTTTGTGGACGACGTGAAGCTCGATATTCCGAAATACCGTTTTACCTTGAGGACAACCATGTCCTCGAGCCCAGATCAGTGGGCTATTCAATCCCAAGGGAAGAGGGAGAAAAATAGTTCAAATTTCCTTTGTTTTTCTTACCAGGATTGGCCTAAAGAAGGGTCCTATTTGTATTGGATCTGTGTATGTAGAAAGTAAACATGTACTAGAAGTAACATGTTGAACAGAACTGAATTTAAGAGGCTTTTTCATTCCCCTAGCATGAGGAAGTATTGGGTACACCCCACACTGATCGAGCTCTGAAATCTACAAGGATTGAGATTTGGTTACTCTGATCTGTACTCGAACACGAATCGTTCCCAGACCAAATGGTGCATATCGATCCACACTTACGATTAAGTCTGTCACTTCTGTTTTGTAACAGGCCCGACAAAACCTAGGACTTAAACGTGAGCTGTGTAGGTTTACGGTGAAGCCTGAACCTAACATTAGTCTTTATCCGTCGCACAGTTCTAATGACGTGACCCATTGGCAGAATCGAACGCCTCTCAGCCAACCCCACGAGAAGCTTTGGACGAGTTCCCGGGCGAGTTCTTTTTGCAACGATTGGGTGGTGCATCATACATTCTTGGATTATTTGCATGTTAGCTCTATTTTGAGTAATGCGACGTACCGATGTAATTTTTGAAGTTACCTGTATCCAAGCCATTCATCCTACCAGTATCTGTATTCATATGTACTACGTCGGGAGGATAAGAAGCCACTCGTTGATATTTACACCAAGGCTGTGTAGGACAAATGAAATTCGTACAAAATGCGGCACTCGGTCTGGACCACAAAAAAGTAATCTGTGGGTAACAAACTGCGGGGTTAGGCCGGACGCATAGTCGGTCGGACGACAGCAACGACTGCAAGTGTCGCACAGCATTGGG